CATAAGTAGCCTAAAGACTACTATTAGGTTGAAATGCCCCAAATTTATCCTCCATTTCTCCTTTCTCTATCCTGACCTACCTTTGCAAGTCATTTTTATTTTTTCTTTTCTTTAAGAGGCTAAAAAAAGGAGGAAATTTTCTTTTTTTGATTCAGAAGTAGACACAAGATAAATACATCTAAATGTAATGGGGGTATAAGAAAAACTGAGAGTAAGCAAGATTGTCTGTAGACAATCTGTTAACAAAACACAGTAACATATACACCTGGACAAGCATCAGTCCCACGGGGAAACCCAGCAACTTTAATTACTTCACCTACAGGCCCTACACTGAGAATTGTTTCTTTCCAGTTGAGTAGAAGCGTGCTCCATGCCAGAGTGAGCTGTTGAGCGTTTTGCTTGTCTTATACCAGACCTGTCTCCTAAGGCTCACTTTTATATGTGTTGTGTAAATGATAATTAATTCATATAGCACACTGACAGTAATAAGTGTAGGTTGGAGAGCCAGAGAGGTCTAGGTTTGATTCTGGCTTTTCTACTTGCTAACTCAATTGTTTTGTGCCAGTTACTGTACCTGCTAATCTGTACAATAGGATAATAGGACCATTTTTCTTCTGATAGGTCAACACTTTGCCTCTGCTCCTAGTCATTCTCCACTCTTGCTTTTTGAAATCTGCTATGCATGTATAACTATGTCACTGCCTTTGGCCAAAGAAATTGTATTCCTCACCTCAAGACTCATGAAAAGAGCTTTGAGACCACTGGACTGGGCACTTGATGTTTGTGCACTGACCCAGACTGGAGAACATTCAAGGTGAAAAACTGTGGCTTGAGAGTGCACCCATGGTGGGCAAGGAGAGTAGGGTGGTGAGAAGATGCCTGCACTCGAGTTTGTGCAGACAAAGGATGTTTGTGTTTTTCCTGCAGACCAAACACAGGGAGAGAAAAGCCAGCCGTGAGCCATCTTAAAGGGACTTTGCCCAAGAGCACAAAAATGGTCCTAATTATGAGGGGAGTCCTTGCAGAATTCTGAAAACCAGGGCTTGCAGAGGGAGCAAAATCAGCTAGGTAGGGCAGTTTCTGATGCTGAGAGGTCTTTGAGGAGCCCTTGGATGTGATCCCCCCAAAAAGGGTCAGCTTTTAAACACTTGTCAACTCACAAAAGCAGTCCTAGAGAATTAGCTTCATACTTGGAGGATCAAGTCCCACACACTTAAAATGGTTTATAATTTCTCCTTCAGCCACTTTTCAACCCCTTTCCCTCACCAACTGTAGTAAACTTGCTCAGGTGCCTGACCTCATCTCTTTCTGTTAGACTGAGGTTTAAGCCAGGACATGTCTGGGGAATCTGTGGTTTTTTTAAGTAAAACTGTTCCATGCAGACTGTCCCTAGGCTCCTGGGGGTGATGGTGGTGTCATTAGCCAGGTAAAGATAAAATGTCCTTATAGGAACAGTAGCAAATGAGGCTCACATTATTCAACAATTTTTGCCTATCAGCTGAGATAACCAGCACTGTGATGGGAAATTCAAGCATAGCACAGAACACTGTGACTTCCATGTTAAGCCCATCATGTTAACTGGCTTTAGTCAGCTTAAAGATGAACTCTAGAATGGAAGAAAGCAAGAGGGTAAGGTGGGGATGGGGAAACAAGACTATTCTGTGTGGCATATTTGAATGCATGACAATAAATGATGAGATGTTATTATAAAAGAAGAGAATGAAAATTAAGTGCTAAGGGCACAGAAAGAAATGAAGAATCATCTTGTACCTCAAGAGTTTGGGGTGGGCTTCATATAATCCAGACTCTAAGGACTGTCCCCAGATGGCTATCAGAAAATGAAGTGCCTGGGAATTCCATATTTGGAAGTAGGAGTGAGAGCTAATTGGGGCTGGGGATTGAGAAAAAGTTGGATTGGTAGATGGAGGTGAATTGTGCAGAGCGCAAATGCCAGAAGGAGGGAGCCAAATGCCCATGGGAACCCCATGTCATGAAAGAACGATTTTTGAGAAATTAAATGAGTTTTGAACATATTAAAGCTTTCACTTAAAAAAAAATTTTAATGTTGAGAGGGTCAAATAATCCATGCCAGACTGTGTCAAAACAAGGGAGGGAGTTAGGAAGGAGACCAACAGGGGAGAGCTAATCCTTTCCTTTATTCCCAAACCCTATCGACGCAGTACCTACGCATTTGGGTTTTAAAATAAAATTTTTACGGTTAGGTGGGATTTCCAGTGCTTCAAAAGTTTTTCCTTTGTGGAGGCTTTTGCCTAGGTATACAAGGGAAGAATTTAGGTTACAGCTCCCATCAGACAAGGGTATCAGCATAAGGTATCCCAAAGTACCATTAACAATCTATCCATGCACACACCTACCCGCCTATCTTCCATTCCACCAGCCAACAAACATTTTTTTTTTTTGAGTGCCTACCATACGCCAGATTCCATGTTGTGTGCTCAGGTTGAGCAATGAACACTGTCAATGTGTTTGGGGTGGGGGAGATGGAAGGAGAATGGCAAACTTCCTCAACTGGGAGATGAGTGCTTGGGATTTCATTATAGCATTTCTTCTGCTTTTTTTTTTTTTGTAGGTTTGATCATTTTCCTAATAAAGTTGGATAACTCCTTTATTTTTCAAGCAAGGAAGTTAGATTTGATAGATGCCTATGTCACAAGGGCAAGGTCAGCTTGGAAGTTACATCCAGGGTATTAGTGGGAGAGAAGTCCTTGGGGCAGGGTGCAGAAGGTGGACAGGAAATGCCTCCTGATGGAGGGTAACTGTTCTTTAAAAGTATTTGTTCAGATTGAATCAAGAAGCCAAAAACTACAAGCCTGACTTGGCCTCAGCCTGCATTAGGAAGTGCTAATAGGTGAGGGTCAGAAGCAAGGAACTAGCCCCTATTACATTGCCATCGCCTTATCTACCCTTATTTCCCTTCCCTTTGCTTAAAGTCAGCAGAGGTAAGTAAATATTCAGATTTGGCCAACATCTCCTGAGCACCTACTGTGTGCCATGCGTTGTACAAAGGCTTTGGGTTAGATTCTGCTTGCACCATCTAATAGGGGTACAGGGAGTCTGAGAAATTCCTCAAGGTGTGGGAAACGTGACATAATTAGGCCAGGGCAGTTCAGGAATCCAGTCCTTCCAATCCAAAGTTGTGAGAATAGGTCAGAAACTTCGGCTTAGGCAGGGGTAACTTCGTGGCTTCAAGCAAGTCACTGGGCCTCCCTGAGCGGACTCAATTTCTGTCTATAAAAAGGGTACAGTAAAACCTTGTAAGGATTCTTTTAAGGATCACAGACCTTTACTGTCAAGATCCTGGCAACAAGCGAGGGCTCCATAAATGGCAGCCATCATTCTTGGCCAAGTCCGGGCGCATCTCCCGCGGGGTCCCTGGGGACAAGCCGGGCCCGCCTCCGCAGCTCTGGTCTCCCGGTGCTCGCGGCAGGTGGCCCAACATCTAGGTGCCCACACCCCGAAGCGAGAGTGGAGCGCGGGCGGGTTGGAGGACTGAGGTCTCCCCTGGAGGATCACCTCCCTTCCTTCCCCACGCCCGGCGCAGGTGAGATTTCCGGCCCAGGCTACAGAGACGGCGACCTGAGGAGAGGTCGAGGCGGACGGCGCTGCCCGCGGCCGGGAGAGGAGTCCTGGGAGGCGCCCTCTCCGTCGCCAGGATTCGCACCAGCGCAGGTCCCAGCGCCCGAGCCCGCAGGCTGCGCGCTCTGCGGCTGCGAAAACCCGGAGAGGTGGATCGGAGCGCGCTCGCAGCCAACTCCTCCGCGGTCCGGCCGCCGAGCTGGGCATGCTCAGTGCGGCCGCCGCGCCGCCGTCCGCCAACTCGGAAGCTCGCACTCCCAGGCTGTGGGGGCGAGAACGCCCCGGGCGGCGAACCGGCGTCGCCCGCCGCCCCCAGACAGTGGCAAACTTCGCGACGTCCCCAGAGCTCTCCCGGAGGAGACTGGTACCTTATAAAAAAATCAAACCCGACCCCCCCTCATCCCAACCCGATTCATGGAGGCTGCGGCCGCCGGAGTGCCGCTGCTGCGTGCCCCTGCCCACTAGCCTGGGACCAACAGGTAAACTGTTGGGGGTGGGGTGGGAGGAGGAGCGGCGGCCGGCGGGGAGGAGCCCAAGATGCCCGCGGGATGGCTGCCCGGGTCGGCACTCACAGCTTACCCTCCTCACCCCATTTCCCCAGCCCCTGGAGGGGCAGCAAAGGGTTAAGTCGGCCCCGCGCCACGGTGAGCACGGCCCCCTCCAGCCGCCGAGACCGCCAGCTGCGCGCCTCGGCGCCTGCCCGGAGCAGCCGATGCGCCACTGGAGCCCAGTGGGCGTCTAGGAGGCACCCGCCGCTTCCCCACGGTCCGCTTCTCTGCCTCCCCCATCCCTTCCAAGCCTGTCTCCGCCCGGGTCGAGTCCGCGCCCAGGTGGCTGGGTCTGCGAGGCGCGTGGCGGCGTGGAAGGATCCCTGACGAGGAAGAGGGGCGGGGGCGGGCCGCTCCGCAGTCTCATCCTCCGGCCGGAGGGCCACCCTCGCCTGGGGCGATCACTTGGGCCACCCGCCTGGGTTCCAAGAAAAGTTTTTTTCCCCCCCGGTGCCCCTCCCCCAGCCCCGCCCTGCGCCGGGCTGGGGTGGGTTTGGGTCCATTGGTGAAAAAAGTCACACGTTTCCATCAGCTGCTCCTCCCCCTGGGGACAGGGTAGTGGGGGCGGGAGGCAGGCGCTGCGGAGGACCCAAGCGGACCTTCAGCTCCTCGTCCGCTGCCACTGGAGCGGTGCGTCCTGGGGCTCCAGCGCAGCGGGGTGCCCGCCGAAGGCTGCCCCCATCAGTGCGTGTCTGCGTGTCTGGCAGCGGCAGCATCCAACCTGCTTTATTCTTGCCTGCAGCGCCACAGCGAGCGAGCGAGCGAACGAGGAGGGGGGAGAGACGGAGTCTGTCTGCAAAGTGCTGCTCCCTGGTGCTCAGAGGCGGCTGCTCCAGCTCCAACTCTCATTCATTTCGCCGGTTAACATGAGAGATCATGGCCGCCTTCGGGCTTCTCAGCTATGAGCAGAGACCACTGAAACGTCCCCGGCTCGGGCCGCCGGACGTCTACCCGCAGGACCCTAAGCAGAAGGAGGTAGGTAAGGGCGCCGGCGGCCTCTCCGGCAACCGAGGCCTCGCTCCGCAGAGCTGACCCGGGGCCAAGTTGGCCCAGCGGGCAACGGCGGCGCTGCGGGGGAAGGGTCAGGGGAGGGGACTGGCGGCAGGGGCCGGGCTGAGGACTGGGGGACCCTGGGCAGCGGAGACTCAGCTGCTGTCAGACCCCGCGCTCCACTGAGACGCTTGCTGTCCGGGCGCAGGGTCGCTTCTCCGTTACCGGGCCTTGCACGGCATTGCCGGGCGCTCGTCTGGTCCTTCTTTGCCGAAACCCTCATGCGCGCTCTCCCCCGCTTCTGCCTGCTTTATTTTTCTCCTCGCCGTTTCGGTAAATCCTCGTAAACTTTGAAAAATGTTGGAATGCAGTGCATCCGACACGGGTCTTGTGTTTTGCGCCAGCTAAGCAGGGACTGGGTGTGTGTGCGTGGGGGCGGGGGGGGGGTGTCGTGAGGGGGTGGGGACCTTTTCTGTCCAGTATTTCCAGTTAGGCGTGAAGTCGTTTTTATCGAGGTGATAAATATTTAGCTATTTGAACGTACTTTCTGTATCCCCTCTCCCCTTTAAAAATCAATATTACGGGGAAACAGTGATTTCGTCCCTAGAGGTATTTGGCTTAATTTGCTGGAGGCAGTTTTGTATATGTAAAAGCAATCGGGTTACCTTGGAAGGAAATAGATACCAAGATTGCTTCTTTCTTTGAATGAAAAGTATTGGAGAAACCTTGACTCTTGGACTAGGTGCACTAGCGTCAATGGCTAGAGTAATATCGTAGCCATGTATGTGTCAGTAGTTAACAAGTAATTATGTAACAAATCTCCAGTTATAATGATCACCCTTGGCCACACAATTTGCCCAGGAATTTGCCTTTTATTTATTTATTTATTTTAAAGAGGACCTGCTACCCAGCTGTGCTTTCTGAGTTTGCCAGTTGCAGCCCACCCATCCTCTGTTGTCTTCAGCTAAACACGAGTGAGAACATTTCAGAACTTCTCTTTCTGGGAATCTAAAAACCCTCTATTAAAAGTTTACAGGCCCACTGACGTCACAGAAAGGGCTTTGTAAAGAAGGCAAGGACAGGCCCTTAAGATTTCCCTTTTGATAAATGTATCTATTTCAATAATAGAGAAAGAAGGTTCTGGTTAAACTGATTCGTTAACGTTTTTGAAAAAGAAGGAGTGGCAACTCCTTTTAGAGGTTTAGCATATTAAACATCTTTGAGCATCCGTTTAGTAGTTCAGATTGAAGATGGGAAGGTTTTACAGGTGGTTCTCAGCCGAGGCTTAACATGAGGATAAGAGTTTTGATGAGACTTTGCAGATTTCTTTTCCACCCATTTTTCTCCCTGCTACTCTGGCCAAGAATAAAGTTAATTGTTAAGGACTGGAAATAACAGATGCTAAGGACCAAGTGTAAAAAAATTAACAACCTAAGAATCAGTGGTAGGAAATTCTTAAAGTTTTGGTTGGGACAGGGACATTGATTGGCTGCCCTTTATCATCTGATAATTAGTGTCTTGCTCCATCTTCCAGAGGGCAGTATAATTGACAGCATCTTCCCACTTAAGGGATGGTGGCCTGGGATGCTGTGTGGGCTTGTTTAGCATTTATTCCTCAGGTCGACACTCATTCAGGATTGGGGCCTCTATGATTCTGGAAAAAAAATTATTTGGGATTTTAGGATCTTACAACATTTTATGGAATTCTACTTTATTAATAACTTCCTTTTGACAAAGTGAAACTGAAGCCCAGGAAAGCTACTTAACCAAGGTGTATGGTGAATAAGCCAGGGAGTTTGACCACCAAATCAGTATTTATGTCAAGACCAATACTGTGTTAAGGATGATTTATGCTAAATTGTGTTGTCCTGATATTACTGTCTTTCCCCCAGGGCAGCCACATTTTATCTGTCTGAAGCAGAGTCAGAATTATGTGTGACTGTAGCCAAATCTGAGTACAATATGGAACAGGTGCTTGGCTCTTCTTGGGTGCTGGTGTGGCAAGCAGTGTCTCCCCAGCTTTAGTCATTTATGTGTTGCCTCGGATTTCTACCCTATTTCTGTGTCACCTGTTCTTTTATTCTAATGTTGTCTTTAAATGAACTTTTAAGAAACTTTTATGTTTCATGCATACACATGAAATCATGGATTTGATGTGATATGTCTATCACATATAAAATATAAAATTTATATCATGTGTATATAGTTTTCATTAACTTCATATTACACACATACACCTGATTATATGTATTAAAACGAGGCCCTAATGTTAAAACTTTAAAAAGCTCATCTGTGCAGGTAAAACCATTGTTGTGTTCCATCAGAGATATGTGTCCCACATTATGGGAGGTGCTGATTTAATGGACGACGTGTGGGCTCGCAAGTTGGACAGACCTGGATTTGGAGTCTGGAGTCAGCCTTTTTGTAATGTGTGGCTTTGGGCAAGTTGCATAACTTCTCATTTGTACATTAGTATAATTGTGCTTTTCAGAAAAATTTGAGAACCCTGGTTCTAAATTAGCATTATATTTACATGAGAAAAACCCTCCTCCTGTTAGAAGCATTACTGTAGCTGGAACTTTTTATTATTGTTAACCAGGGCTAGTAGTGTTCTGGAAAATAGCTCCCAGGGGATAGGATGAAACCTTTGAATGAAAACCCCTTGCAAAGAAGTATGGGGGTGGGGGGCTGAGATGCTTTAAGCTGCTGATCCATTCATTATGTTCTTCGAAGAGTGTGCTGTGGGTCAGCACTCCACGGGACTTCATCATATGTTGTGTTATAAATCTTTGCTTTCTGGAAATATAGACGGCCCTCAAGCCTTGAAAACAGGGAATCAGAAAATTGGGAGTCACCCTTGGTTCCTTCTTCTCACTTACACCTCAGAGTATGTTGATCAGGACACCTGGTCTACTTCAGTTCCCAAATATATTTCCAGTCCATTCACTGCTCCCCAGTCTCACCAATATACTCCACTTATTTTCTGCTTCAGGCTGACTTTTTTGTGCCCCAGGACTCTTACACATGCTTCCCTATCTGCCTGGATACCTGTCTGCCTATCCACCTCACTGTTCTACTCTACTCTTCTCACCTTAGTCTGGTTAGGAGGGCAGACTCTGGACCCTGGGTTCAAATCCTGGCTCAGCTGTTTACATACTCTTGTCCTTCCCATGCTTCAGTATCCCCTCCTGTAGAGTGGGGATGGAAATACAGCCTGCTTCTTGGGGTTGTTGGAAGATTACATGGATAATACATGTAAAGCACTTAGACTGGAGTCTGGCGTGGACCCAACACCCAAATATTTGCTGTTATAAATTACTGTCAGGCCTGCCTTGTCTTCATCATTTAGGTCTCAGCCCAGCGACCTCCGCAGAGGCCTTTCTAGTATAGGTGTATAATTTGTGAATATGTGTTTATTTGCATGTTGCCATCCCTCAATAAAGGGTCAAGTTCAAGGATGAGAGCTGTTTCAGGCATCCCTGAAGTACGGGGCTTCTAATGCATTAGTTTCTGGGATGCTGAGGGCATGAATACTTGGACTGTATGAATGAAATGGGAATGAATGAATAAAAAGAGGAAATCTGGTGACTGAGGGGTGTTAAGGAAATTCTAGGTTAAGGCAGAAATTATCCTTGACATCTACCTTGGAGGCTACAAGGCCAAAAGTGAAATTAAACTCTAGAAGTAGGAAGAAAGAGTTTTACCCTGGGATAGAAGAGGTTTAAATAGCTGAATAGTAAATATTTTCAGAAAAATCAAATTAGCTAGAAAATAGGTTGGGGCAATAGTGAGATTTCCAGGCATCAGGAGCCATAGAGCCCCACTGGCAGAGCCTGGGGGTGGGGCGGAGAGAGGATGGTCTGGTGTGCAGTGCAGAGCTACCCATGGATAAGCATGACTTGGGAGGGGGTGGAGTGAGTGGGTGGTGGTGGTGTGGTGTCTGCTTGTGGAGAACCCAGAACAGCCAGTAAGGCTTGTTAAAAACAGGTAGCTGGGTTTTTCAGATTCAGTAGGTCTGAGGTGGGGTGCCATAATTTGCATTTCTAACAAATCCTAGGTGATCTGGTGCTGCTGGTCTGGGCCCCACTTTGAGAACCCTGACCTGCAGAGGAGAAGGCATACAGTTCTACAGGGGCTAGAGAGTCCTGCGCAGCAGGTAGGGCATGATTAGACATCTGTGTCTGGCTGAAGTTGCAGTCGTTTGGGGAAGCAGGCAACTCAGCGAGGGTTCCGTGGGCTTTTCCCAGACAGAAGATGTGCCCTCTCAGCTCAGATCTCAGGTAATGAGTCAGGAAGTCTCTCCAATGGCTTTCCATTACACTTGGGATAAAGCACAAGCTCCTTACTTAGGCCATTAAGGCCCTACCAGCCTGGCCCCGGCCCACTTCCATAACCACAGCCTGTAACCAGACCACCTGGATTTTACTTTTGGCTCCATCACTTACTGTTTGCCTCAGACCTCACCGTGGAATGGGGTTCATATCTGTTCCTACTTCCCGGGGTTGTTGGGTAGATAAAATGAGATTTGAACCATGCCTGGCACACAGACAGTGCTCAGTACAGGCCAGCTACTGTTGGTCCAACCCCTTCCTTGTTAAATGATCCCAGGGCTTCCCCGTATAATTATAATAACATCCACAAGACCCTGCCCTTCGAGGTCTGGCCTCTGGACCTTGAGTCACTCTTTCCTGACTTGCTCATTCCCCCCTGGCTGTGCAGTGGGACCACTGGTCACCTCTCTTGTCTTCCAACAGGTCTAGCTTTTTTGTATCTAGATTTCTGTCCTTTGCTGTCCCTCCAGTCATGTTTCCTGTCATTTGACTTCTAGAGGTTCCCTCAGAGGGAAGTCTTCCTTGTAACCTGTAACCCATCTTCCTTATCCTTGCTAGTTCATTATCTCAGGTTAATATGTTTCTAGTGCTTGTCACTGTCTGAAAGTCCCTCATAAGGCTGCTTGTTCTCTCCACGGTCTTCCCCCCACACTA